AAGATCCATTTGAAAGGTTCAAGAAGATTCAAGAAGTGTCAAGAATGATTTTATATGGCATCAATTAAGTTTCTATTTTTTTTTAATTAGTTTCATATTTTATAGTTTTCTATTTTGTATTGATTACTTTTTAAAGGCAATAACTTACCCATTTTACATTACATTAATTAGCAGAGAGCCAAATAAGATTCTTCTCATTAATAATGGGATCCTTCTTAAGTAACATGTAAGCTAAATTATCCTATCTTGACTAGCGAATTATAGTATCCTAGAAGGTCTTTTGGATTTCCTAATTTTACTATATTTTTGCAACTATTTTTTATACATTTTATTTAGTTAATGTTTTAGACTCTAATTGCTTATAATGGGCTTTCAAGGCTTAGTTATCAATTAGGGTTTTCATATTAGGGTTTTTAAGAGTTGTTACATATAAATAATTTTGTATGTAATTTATTTTAGGAGGAGATGATTTGAATGATTAATAATATGATAATTTTATTTCTCTTTATATGAGCTTTGCTTGCATCTTTGTATTCTTGTGAGAATACTCTGACTGTATCAAGAGAGTGATCAACCTTGTGGTGTCTTTATAGCCAGAGTTGTAAGAGAGAAGTTCTCTTAACATCCTACCTCGATCCTCTGTCCAGTTTCTTTTGTTTAGGGTTATAAGAAACAGGTTCTCTTTGAGTTTCATTCCAACTTTTATACTTATTTCTAGCTGATCCATAGGTTCCCTTATTTCATAGTCAATGCCTTCTGGTATGCTATCATGAACTCTCTCTTTGAAAAGATTTGTCCTCAAATCTTAACCCGTATCAAAAGGGAAGAAATTAGAATTTACGAAAATAATTTAAAAACAATACTTACCAAGTAAAGGAATCATGCAAGTTATGTTATGGGTCTTTCCAAGAACTTGAGAAGGATTTTGAACACTTAGAGTCACATTTGGAAACTCTAGTTTAGGAGGGTGTTGAAACTTACTTTCAGTTAGAAATCTTTTCTTTCTCATATGCACCCAAATATAAATAATAATTTGAATCTCTTGTGCACCACAACATAACCTAGAGCAACAATAAAATCCACATAATAGGAAAGCCTCTTAACCGCAACATGCATATGATAAGAGCACCTATGAACAACAAAATTCATGTAACAAGCAAAATCCAATGTGTGAAATTGAAGACATCTTAAAGACAATAAATTATTAGGAATAACAAAATTCAGGCCATCAGAATGTTTTTCAATATTGCCTGAATGAAATGAGAATCCATCAACTGGCTCTTTATGAAACAAATTGAATACCTACCCAAGCTTAAAGATATAGGATCTTTCTTTCACTACTAACAATTTTAATCATTCATTGTCTTATGTTTCTGGTATGTTGCAGGTATTTGATTTGTTTCAAAAAAATTGATCTAGGTGATTGAGGCAGATAGATATATGTTACTCCTTTAATTCTATTTATAAGTTACTTCCAACATGTTTCAAAGTAAGAAAAACCTTAAATTTCATTAACTTTCATTTAAAATTTAATAACTTTCTAACTTTATCCTTATTTAATGTATATTATACCCAATGAGAATAAAGTCAATACAATAATAAATAAATGGTAAAATTATATATTTATATGAAAATTTTCTCTCTCTACTCTATAAATAAGATGAAAATTTTTTTTCTTCCTCTATTTCATAAATAGGACTAGAGGGTATATATGAAGCCAGTAAAATTTATCAGATATATGTAATAATGTTAAATGATTCATTTTTTTTCATTAAAACATGACTTAAAATAGAATAGTTTATGTGCATTATGTAACATCCTAAATACTATTAAAAAAATTTTTTTTATAAAAATAATAATTAAATAATGTAAAATAATATTTTACTATTATTAAATAATAATATTTTATTAATATAAAAAAAAAATTGACCCAGCTTTCCACCGACTTTCGGTGGAAAAGCTGGGAGGTTATTAAGAGGGAGAAGAATCATGGGGGAAGACTATTGACGGAAGAAGAATTTGATGCGGGTAATTAAAGAGGGAGGAGGAAAAATAGGGAGGAATAATAAATGAAGGAAGAAAATTGAGGAAGGATGGTTGGCATGTTAAAGGATAAATAGAAGAGTGTGAGAGTTGTGAAAGAGAGGTAAGAGACGCAGGAAGAAAAACGAAGAACAAGAGAGTGAGTGAAGTTTTCTGCAAGGACATGCTAGCATTTGGGGATCATATAGGTACATTAAACACTTCTTTCTATTAAATTTTTCCTTATGAATATTTCCTATATATTTAGAGCTTTATATTAGTAGTATCATTATAATGTTTAGAGAAAATTTTGTGATTTGGGTATAGAGTAAGTATTGAGTTTCGAAAATATTTGACCGTAGAAATTTAAAGATTTATTATTAAGAAATTTTAATCGGTTTAGATTTGTCCATTTATTACCCATGATATTTAAAATCAAATTTATTTTGTTGAAAAATCTGTCATTTATGATACATATCATATTTATACCGATTAAAATTAAGTTAAATAATTTATTTGGGTTGTTTGATATATTATTAAAATTTTAATCGGTTTATATTTGTTTATTGATTGTTTTGAGAATTTTAAACTAAGATTTTAGTTGAAAAATGTATTATTCAAGATATATAGAATGTTTTTACCGATTAAATTTAAGTTAAATAACTTATTTGGGTTACTTAATGTGTTATTGATATTTTAATCGGTTTAAAATGTAAAATAGGTTAAGACTATATTATTAGAAAAATTTTGAAACTGGAAACTTAAGTTATAAATTGAGATTCTTACAATATTAGATAAAAACAATATTTTATAAATATTTATAATTTAAATGAGTTATTTGGTAGGGAAAAAAATGTTATTTGAAGTAAGAATTTTTGGATAGTAAATATATGTATAGATATTATTAATAATAAATTCTATGTAATTTAAGTTAATTATTTGTATGTATATTAAATTGTATCTATATTATTTGTAGATTATCTTGTACTTCGGAGTTTGTAATTTGCGCTCTTATTTCTCAAGCTGTGAGGTTAAGCTTGGAGTAGAGGTAACCGGGGTTAATTTATTTTATATACACGCTTTGGATTGTAAGGTGTTTATTATGTTTTTATTTTCTTAGTTAATTTGTAAAAGTATGCCTGTGAATAAAATATATATTTTATTATATGACAAATTTTGGTGAAGTGGGAAGTATGTTGATCTAATTATGTTTGAGTTGTGTTTTATTGGAAATTGTGTTTTCGTGTAGTATTGAATTTAATATACTAATATTATGTTATTAAATGAAATGAAAATGTGTTATACTTTGTTTGAAATTATATCATCTTACTTGGAAGATTGTGATATTTTGATTTATATTGTGACTATGCATGGGGTTCATATGTGGAGGATGGGATTTTGTTATGCGGAGGATAATTGTTCTTGAAGCCCGCGCGGCATGCCTACACTACGGATCCCAGTGTTTGGCCTTATTGTTAGACCCCTGTAGTTCTTCCTTTTCCTTGGCCCGGAATTGAGAATGAACTCTTGGGTAGACACCTCTTGCACCATAGTCCATTCTTGGACGGTGTAGGTACAGGAGGGGGCCCGTTGCTTGATGTGAGTGGGGTGACCTTTGGCCGGGTTACTCAGCACAGAAAGCCCGGGTCCTTGTCAAGGAGTCATAAGGAGGAGAAAGGTGATGGGAGGGCATATTTCATTGTGTTGTTGTATAGATGTACTTTTATATGAATTGTGTTGTGGATGGAGAGATATACTCTTTTTATGTGATTATATCTATTAAAATACCATTTATTTCTTAAACTATATTTAAGCACTACTTCACCAACTTGCCATCCTACTTGTATATGTCATAAATTAATACTTGGTTACTGGGACTTTACGTCTCACCCCGCTGTTCATCAATACTTTTCAGGAGAGCCATCTAGTTTGGCTCGGCGTGAATGGAAGCAACCAGAGGCATAGGCGAGCATAGCCTAGTAGTCCTCTTTTGGTTTAGGCATGTAGTGTTATGTATATTGCCATCTTAGGGCCCACAACTGTATTGACATATACTTTCTTTTGTTTGGATGACTGTATTTGATGAAATGCTGTTAAAATGGCTGAAGGCCATAAGACTTTGCTGTATGTGATACTCTTATGTGTATGCCTTATGGGCTGGGTTGAGCAACCTATGTTTCTTGTGCCCTAAGTCTTTGTGGGATGAATATTATGTTGGGCTTGTGGGCGGTTACTGTGCCCTGAGGCTTTGTTCTACGTTGCTAAATCCATGGGTGTTTTGTGTATCCTGAGCTACTTGGGACGTTTTCAAAATAAGTCAAACTCTTTATAACCATGGTAGTATTTTAACACTCTAACTCAATTCTTTTTCTACCATGGTTATCATTTTAAAAATAGTTTTATAATTATGTATTAAGAAGAGGTCTTTTCACATTACTTGGAAGTCTCCTCCGAGAAGTCTTTGGGTCCCAAGTACTTGGAAGTTGGGGTGAATTTTCCATGGATCTTCCTTTAAGTCTTTAACTTTCCTTGCTTGTCAATTTCAATTATTTAAATGTGTTTTTGTCAACATCAAGTCATATCTTGTTGAATTCATGTGATATTATAAAATATGAAAAAGTGGTCAGAAATTTACGAATAGAGAATCATTTGTGCAAATGTATGTGAATTATGTAAAGATTCAAGTATAACGTATTTTCAGCTAACTCTTTTTCAACTTTGTACGCAATCTATTTTTAATTATGTAAAAAACAGAAGACATTTGCATACACATAAAGAAATATTACATATATCTAGAGAAAAGTTATATTTGTTGAAAATATACTAAGGACTTTTGTGGTTGGCTTGTCAAGGAACCACCATAAAATAGGCTGTGGTTATTATTATTGCTGCAACTACTTAAGAGTATTTCTAAATTATAGTTACCTTTTCTGTTTTAGTATATATTTTATGCAGCAAATGCCTCCAAATCTTTAAAGTTACTTTTAAGTCCTTTCAATTGTGACAGGGCTCAACAAAATTCTCTGAATCGGGCCAAACAAAGAAAACGAAATTCTCTGAAAAGGCTACTCCAAATATGGGCACCCTCTTCTTAGGACAAAAAGATTACAAAAATAAAAAGTAGTGACATAGAAAAAGCACTCACAATTTTATAAAAGCTAAAAGACTCAAATCTAAGCCACACCAATATTATCACATAAATAATTATCATAATGATGATTATAATATAATTAACCGAAAAGTTGAGTGGCTGCTTCTGCTCCTCTTCCCTGCCTGCCAACTTCAGTGCTTATTGATGAACTCTTTCACCTTAGCAATAAGATCTCGGGTTTGTTTACCCGTATTTGGATCCGAATCCACCGCAACTTTGTTCAAGTAAAAGCTATGGGTCATACCCAAACTCACAAATAGCTCCACTTCTTTGTTAGCCTTCTTCATCGCCCCATAGTACTCCATCTCTGTGTCTACAATCAAGTCCATCGACGCCACGCACAGCAGAATCGGCGGCAGTTTCAGTCCCTCCAACGGCGGCGCAGCCTCGCCCATTGGGCAGGTAATCGGATGGTCCTTGTTACTTCCGACCGGCAACGCTAAGCTCAAGAACTTGTCCAACATGTCCAGAGTTAAGAACGGGGTTTGAGGCTTCTCTAACTCCGACCTGCTCCTCTCCGACCGGACAAAACCTGGGTGGATCGGTACCCCACCGGCCAATCTCACCGGGCTTAGGTCTAAATTTCCAGCTCTTGCAGCCACCTCGTGGACAACATTCCCGCCGGAGCTGTCTCCGATGAGGAAGACACGGTTGAAATCGGCATGTTCAGAGAGCCATGGTTCGTGGGAGTCACCTTTGGCGAGGGATTGAAGCCATAGAAGCGACGATAACCCATCGTCCATGGCGGCAGGAAGACGATTCTCCGGGGCTAGCCGGAGATAAGGGGAGACGCAGATGACTCGGGCCGATCGGGCGAACTCAGTGTACACATGGTAGTACATGAACCAATTGGCTTCGCTTATGCAGAACCCACCACCATGGAAATGGACTAGCACCGGAAGCTTGCCAGTCTCGCCTGGAGCTGGCTCGGGAAGATAAAGCCGAACACGGAGGCCCGACTTGTCATCGATGATGACGTCACGAGTGGCGACTCCGTCAACGAATTGTTCATGAGCCGGAACTGGTTCTGCCATGAACTTAAACTCCAGTGGTCCGGTCCATATCCGGTCCACTGAACCGTCGTCATAAAGTCTGAGCCAACCGGACACTGAATCTACGAGCTTCTTCTCCTGAGCCATAACCATTTTGGATAAGAAACTTATACGAGAAAAGAAAGAGAATGATAAGGATGAGTGGAGTATTACAAGCAAAGCAATAAGCGTTTGTTGTGTTTATATAGTGGAAAATTTGTGTGGTGTGTGAAACCAAAATAGGAAAGAACCTTCAAAGAAGTTTACTGTAAGGCTTTGTTTGGTTCCGCGGAGGGAAAGAGAGTAGAGGTTAATTAAAAAAAAGGGAGAAGAAAGAAAAGGATGTCATGGGTTTTGTTTGGTTGGAAGGAAGGGGAAGGGAGAGGAGATTTCTTGTTTAGTTTATAAGTGAAGAAAAATGGAGGTAATTATAAACTAACAAATATGCCCTTATCTTTATATTTAGACTACTTTATTTTTTTATTACAATGTTCATATCAAAATTATTATTTCTTAATTTATTAATTTTAAAAAAACCAATTACCTCAATTACATGTGATAAAAAAATCATGATAAAACTAAAAAAATTAAGAAATATGATAAAAATTTTAACATTCTATATGATAAAAAGTTTAACATTTTATCTCATTAATTTTATAATTAATACACACGCATGTGTATTAATATATATGATATGTATATATTATATAATTATAATACACACATGATATATAATTATAATACACACACATTATGATATATACATATATATATATTAATACATATGATATGTATATATTATATAATTATGATACACCACCCTCTATTAATGTATACGTATCATATTATATTATGAAAAAAATTACTGTCATGATAGAAATATTATATTATCAGATATCATTAGTGGCTGAAAAGGTAGAAGTGAGAAAAGGGTTTCTAATAAAAAAGACAAATTTGGAACATAGAAAAGCTAGTATGAGTAGTTTAGTCAATATTATATTTAATATTTCTCTCCCCTCTAAAAAAGCCCAAATTTGGAGGAGAGCAAAAAGAAGGAAGGAAAGTAGTAAAAAACAAATTTCTTCCCTCTTTTCCCTTTTATTTTTCCCAACCAAACACACTAATCTCATCCCCTCTCCTTCTCTTTCCTCTCCTCTTCTCAACAACCCTTCAACTAAACAGAGCCTAAAGGCTTATGGCATGATGCATACACATCTATAAAATATTCAATATATAATAAATAAAGTAATAAATAATTGAACTCCTTAAGCGAAACTATAGATTTCTTTACATAAAATTTCAACGATACTAAAAATGTTAGGTTGTTTCACCCAAAAAAAAAAATGTTAGGTTGAGTTCGTCACTGCTAATATCTTCATCACCTGACAATAAACATTGAGAGAATTACAATTAGGTCTAAAAAAAGAAAATAATCCCCAATAATAAATTGAAATATTTATGAGAAAATTGCCATGAAATCCCAAGAAAATGACATAATTATTAAAAAAAAAATCCCAATAACAATTATGTCATTTTTTAATAATTATGTCATTTTCTTGGGATTTCATGGCAATTTTCTCATAAATATTTCACTCTCTCATTCTTGTTTGAGAATTTAATAGATATAAAATATTTATAAAGTTAATTTTTCAATTCATTCCATTTCATTCCCAATATGATAACAAACGAGCATTTACCTATATTCTATTTGTCGCGGTTATCAGAATCCTTTACTTGGAAGTTGGGCCGAATTTTCTATGCATCTTCCTTTAACTTTCCTTGCTTGTTAATTTCAGTGATCTAAATATGTATTTTTGTCAACGTGAAAATCATGCTCAACCCTTTGTTGAATCCATGTGATATTATAAAATATGAAAATAGGTATTAAAAAAAATGTCTAGTTTGAGAAGGATTAAGTATAACATATTTTTAAGGAGTGTAATTTTTTTCTATTATATGTAACTTATTTTCAATTATACAGAATAGGGAAGATATTTTTGTATGCCCGAAAATATGTTGCATATAACTAAAGAAGAGTTGCGTTGGTTGAAGATTAGTTGCATTCATTAAAAAATCCGGATTCCTAAGTACTTTTACACGATTTTGTAATTAAAGATCACTTTCAAGTAGGAGTTATTATATCTGGATTTTAACTAACACCTTCACTCTAGCTATGTAACTTAGATTTAAGAACATGTGAAAAAAAAAATTATGTAACTAATTACTTTTCAGTATTGTTAATTTAAAATACGCAATATTGCTTAAGATTGGGTGTGCTTTCTTTTCCGATCAAGATTGCATGATTTTAAAAGTGTGTTAAAAGCTGTCCAAACAAAACGAAACAGCGGGTTGGTGTTAGAAGTCACGTCTTTTCATCTGAAATAGGGTTAACATGAAAATGAGAAAATCGTAAAAAAAAAAATGAAAATTAAAAAATCGCATACAGGATCAATACACGAAAGTTGTCGTCATTTGCTTATTAATTATTGTCAAAACTAATATTAATATTCTAATAGATCTCTATTTTCTATTTTTCTATTTTCAAGGTCCTAAGTATCTAATGTTTTTTGGGTATAAATTTGTCTTAGAAATTTAAAATTGTAGGAATATTGTCCTGCTGTTAAAAAGCTAACATTAACAGTTAAAATAATGACAGTGATTGAGTATGATTTTAGACTTCCAGGGTGAATTTACACAAAAAAATTTCGGATACCTAACACTACTAAGTAAAAAATTTTAAGACAAATTTGCATCTTAAACTATAGAATTATCAAATGATTCTTTCTTTCTTTCTTAACCACAAGAGTAAAGTTTGGTTATGTTAATCAAAAGATTGGATTAAAGGTCAAATCAATGCGAAAATAGTGTCAATAAGTGGTCCTGTACTAAAAATTAACCATTTTCTTGAATATAGATTATTTGTATGTATTGGATATATGATTTTTAAGTTAATCTCTTGAACGTATTGAACTTGTTTCTTTGCCGTGAAATAAGATAACAAGTTTTTTAAAATAATTTTTAAATATGTAGTAATTTATTTTTATCGTCCAAATTTTGTAATCCCTTGTCCAATTATTTTCTAGACAGGGTACCACTGATTTCTCAGCATAATAATTGTAGAGTACTTTAATTAAATAAAAATTAACATATAAGAAACATACTGACATCAAATTACTTATATCTATTATATTTCAAGTTTTACAACTACACATAATGAATATAAATAACTTGACTCATTTTGTCATGTGATCCAAATAAAATTAAAATAAATCAAATCACAAATTATAGATGAATGCGAATGTGAGGAAACAATTATAAGCATAATAATTATTTTCATATTGATAATAAATAATTTTTATTTCATTACTTTTAAAAAAATATTTTTATTTTGTATTTTGTGACAACTTATTTATTGTTGTTTAGTGAGCATTTACATGAGTCAGAATTAACAGATTATGGACCTAAAGGCTAGCTAATCTCTATAATTGAGAAAATTATGAGGACCACAAGAATATGATTAAAAATTATATGAAATTATCATAACTGATGAATTAATTTTTCTTAAATTCCACTGTATGGTGGTGGAAAAAATACCGGAATCTTGATTGGCCCAAACATGATAACGTGGCCCTACTGTCGTCACATCCTTTTAGCAGTATGTACTAACTCGGGTCATAAATATAAGAGTTAGTTGACTAATTTGAGTAAATTAAAAAAATAAGTTAAGTTAGTTATTTGTAATAACTAGTTATTGCTTTTCTAAAATATCCTCTCTAATCAAATGTATTGGTTAAAGCTATCATTATTAAAAAGACTATTTTAAAAAATACATAAATATGATAGACAAATTGAATTGAGATCTTATATTAAGGATCAGAGGTAGTATCAGACAAAATTTGAATAAAATTATACCTAAAAAACAAGATTTAAGATTAAAATTGTACTTTTATTCTTTTAATTTTTGAATGTCTACTATAATTTTTTAAAAAATAAATCCTAATTAAATTCAACTAAAATATAAAAATTCAAATTCAAGGGCACACTTTTAATTAATTTTGTATCAGACCAAGACGCCTAATTAAATATTTTCAAATATTTTTAAAAAATTAAAATACTCTTTTATAGTTAAAAAAATTGAAAGTAATGTAAGCCTAATTTCGGTTGGATTTAATTAAGATTTTCTCTTCTTTGTATCATTAAAAAAACCAAAGAAAGAGATGAAAAATTAAGATTTTGCCAATAAAAAACAATTGAAAAACCAAAATAAAAATATATATAATTTCTAGAGATCTTTGGAGTTACAAAAATGCTGGGGCTGATTAAAAAAAGTGTGCACAATTTCAAATATAAAAATTAACCGGATCAAAGACTTTTTATTAACCAAAAAAAGGGATCAAAAGTTCAAAGATTTGTTGAATATCTATCAAGATTAACTTACAGATTCGCAAATCACACCGAGGCTCATCAATTGTTTTTTTACTGAAAAAAAATCTCAATTAATATGGCTGAAATAATTAAAACATCAAAAAAAAAATTTGATTAAATCTCTTGGCCTGATTAGAAATTTGTCAAAAGTATACATATAAATTTGGATTTTAATATTTAGTAGAATTTAACTTGGAGTCTCCCGTATTTCTTTTTTATTTTTTTCGCCTTATTGTTACACAGACTTAGGCTGAGTCAAACCAAAATTTAATCAGGCAAGAGAATATGCCCCTGTAGGCCAATTGAACTATTTTCAATATTTTAACGAAGTCTATTTAAATTATATTATATTATATGTATAAACATATTTTTTCCATCATGTATTTTATGTATATAACATAATATATAGATATATTTATACAAGGGAGGGAGTGGCAATATAGTTAATTAATATAACATAAAATGAAGTAAATCTTGCTTTCTTTGTTTTTTTTTTTCACATATCATTTATATGTTTAGAAAATATACATTTTTATTATATATGCATATAAAACACAATATAAAAAAGGAAAATTTTAATTAAGGACCACAGTAGACAACTTATTTCAAACAACTCCCAAAATATTCTGAAATGTCATTGCAAGACCAAAAGAGCAAATTGAAAAGGAAAAGACATTTTTACCTCCCAAAACTCTATGACTCTGAAGCTCCTCCCCCTCTCTCTGGAAACATTCGATAGCTCCAGCTCTTCTCTCTCTTACTCTCTGAAAAATCTGCTGTTGCATTAAGAGAGATCTTTCGCCATCATCGTCGTTTCAGTAAAGAGAGCCTTTGCCATCGCTAATATTCTAGTATGGGGTG